TTCGCATCTTGCAGCGCTTTGGAGGGGGAGGTAGAAAGGCTACGAGCACTTCCCGGCAGCTGCCGTTTCGCACAGATCCCAAAGGCAACGTCCTCACGTCGCCCCAGGCCATAGCAGCAGATGTTCGTGCAAATTTCGCCGCGATCGAAACTGCAGAGATTTTGCCGCCCATTGCCCAAGCTCGGAGGTACAACAAAGGGGGGCGCGATTTAGGTGCTGGGATTTCCCGTTCTATCCAAAACGTGATGCCCCTCCGGCAACTCACTTCGCCCTTCAAGAGAGCACCGAAGGGCGCGGCGCCAGGGCCGGACGGGATCCCAGATGCATTGTTGAGCGTTGCCCCAAGAGCCATGGCTCGATTGGTGCACCCACTCGCGGTCAAGGTCCAGCTGCACGTGCAAGAGCCACTCGCGTGGCAGGGCGGCACGGCAGTCCCTGTTTACAAGGGTTCCGGGGGATCACGTCTTAGCGTTTTCTATCGGCAAATCCTCCTCATGAGCAACATCGCCAAACACCACCACCGGTTCCTCAGGAAACAGCTCCTCTCTATCACCTCCTCCTTCTTCGGGGAAACGCAGTGCGGGGGGCTCGAAGGTCGTTCTACAACGATGGCCTCGCACATGGCCCGAACCTTGCTCCTGTTAGCCCAGCAGAAGAAAGTTTCGGCGATTTTGCTTTTCACTGATATTAAAGCAGCATTCTATTCCGTAGTGCGGGACTTTGTTCTCCCCCCCCCCACTGACCCCGAGGACTTGGCCGAGGCGTTGGAAAGCGCAGACATTCCATTGCCGTTGCTCCCTGCCCTGGAGGCTGCCTTGGCCCAGCCCAGCATCCTGGATTCCCTAGCCCCGGACAAGCATCTAGTGGCCATGGCGTCTGAAGCGCATACACACCCATGGTTCCGAGTAGCTGGGGATGACAAGACCTGCCGCGCTCGCACTGGGACGCGTCCGGGGGGGCCCCTGGCCGACTGGGTTTTTAATGTGTTGTTTGCCCCGCTCCTGTCCAGGATTAGGGGGGACCTGGAACATGCGGGCCTTTTTCTCCCGCTTGACGCCCCCCAGGAGCGACTCTTCTCTCCCCCAAACGAGCACAAGGCCACGGAAGCCGCAGAAATCGCTTTCGTAGACGATATGCTTGCTCTGTGCGTGGCTCTGGCCAACGCTCATATCCGGGAGCTGATCGGAAACGCTGTAGACATATTGTACGCGGCCATGATGGAGAGAGGGTTGCGACTGAATTTCGGCCCCGGCAAAACGGCTGCTCTGGTAGACATATGGGGCCCTGGATCTGTCTCTGCGCGTCAGGACCTCTTCCGTTGCCCGCCCAGCCCTGTACTCTCCCCCAAGTACCGGCAAGCGGTCAACTTAGTGTCCAGTTACAAGCATTTGGGTAGCATGGTCTATCGTTCAGGTGCGCTTGACAGCGAGGTGGCGCATCGGAGGCAACAGTTTCACGTGGCCTTAGGCCCCGTCAGTCGTTCAGTTTTCCCTCGGGTCCAACTGCCGCTACCCACGAAACTTTCGTGGTTGCACTCGCTTGGGACTTCTCGATTGCTTTTCGATTCGGCGGCATGGCACCGGTTGCACGCGCATGCTTTGGAATCGTTGCAGGCCGCGTATCTGAAGGGCCTTCGGGCGGCGGCCCGATTGCGGACGAAGCCCGATGATCCCCAACCCTCGGTCGACGACGTTTTGGGCCATACTGGAGAGGTCCCTGTGGAGATCCGCAACCGCAGGATCAGGCTCCGCTACGTGCCCAAATTGCTCCTCCAGGCCCCCCCGCAATTACGGTTGCTCTTGGATCTCACAGCCCACCGCAAAGATTCTCGGGCGCAGCTGTTCTTGGAAGATATCAAATGGGTCCGTTCTTTTTTGGGGGACGCCGCGCAAGCGCCCCGGGAACCCAGCGGATGGATCCGGATCGCTGGGGACTCGCCGCAAAATTACAAGCGTCTGCTTAGTTCGGCTTCCTCTGCCTACGAGAGGTGGTGGGCAGACCAGTGTCACCTCCGTCAATGGCAATCCCGCCTCCGGACTCTGTGCCGGGCGGCCGCCTTTCCGCCGCCGCGAACATGCCTCGCCCCAGACCAGACGGTTGCTTACCCATGCTACGAGTGTGACCACGTCGCCCACACGCCGGGGGCTTGGAGGTCCCACAGGACGAAATCACACCTGTCCACAGACCTTGCCGGGTCCCTGGCCGGGCCAGGAGGGGTGTGCCATATATGCCTTCGCGATTTCCACAGCCGCCCGCGCCTCCTGAAGCATTTGCGGCACGGCGCGGAAGCGTCTCCAAGGGTTAACCCAACGGGGGCGGTTCCTCTCAGATGAGGAAACTGAGGCTTTCCGGCAGCAGGACCACGTGGACGCCGTCGCCCTCAGCGCTGTTGGGCTTCGCCCTACATCCGCCGAGACCCCCCCGCAAAAACTCTACGGCCCTGCTTTGCCTCCACCGCCACCAAGCCACGTGTGGGTCCCCACGCGCATCCCAGCCCCGGCCGTGGCGTACACTGAACAGGCTCCCTTCCGCCCGCCCCGCTCCGACATCCCCAGAATGCGTCGCACGGTTTTTACGTCTTGCACTTGTTTGGTGGCCCACGCCGCTCCGGAAATGTCCAGGACCACTTCGAAAGCGTAGTGTCGGCCGCGGGAGCCCCTCTGGTCATGCTAAGCTTGCCAGTGGCCAGCGATGAGGTCCAAGAGTGCACGTTTGAGTCACATTCGATACCTTTATTCATGGACCTCATCCGGGAGGGGCACGCGATTGGTGCGTTCGCGGACCCGCCACGAGCGACGTGGTCAGCAGTTCGACCGAGTTTTCTTCGACGACACAGGGGCCCCCGCCCTGTCAGATCCATCACTAGCTTATGGGGGATCCCCACGAGCTCCATTTCTGAGTGGAGACAACTCGAACTGGGCAATGCGCTGTACATATCATGTCGGACTTTCATGTATGATTGCTACATGCATGGAGCGGCAGGCACCTTTACACACCCCGCGCCCCCTTCTGACCCCTTGGTTCCCTCTTGCTGGTTCCTGCCAGAGATTGTCCATCTGCGCACCCTGGGCAGGCAAGACAGTAGCGGGAACTTGGATTTTGTCTGGGTCGATCAGTGCGAATTCGCGGCCACCGCGGTCGAACCCACCCAGTTTGTACTGGTTGATCAGCCCTCGTTTCGCCAGGCTGTGTCTGGCCTTCCGCGCGGAGGGCGCTGCTCCCACAGAGACAGCTCAGGCAGACACCCGCGCGAGGATGCCAGCGGCGGCGTCCCCGACGACCTCCGAACAGCGCAATCCGAGCAATACAGTTCGGAGTTGTGCGCTTTCATAGCGGCACATCTGTTCCAAGCTGTCACCACTCGGCTGCCGGAGGCGGCCGGGCCGCCTTCTTCAGGCGACAGCGCTGCTTTCAGGGAGGACCTCGCCCCCTTCTACTTTCCTCTCTACTCTTAGCCTCAATCGCCCTTCTCCTCTCCTCCCTTCCTGGCAACGTGCGCGTTCGTTGACTTCGTTCCGTTTGTCCACGGGGGGTTGGAGGGATATTGGGTAGCAGAGCAAGAGGGGTGGGTACGAGCACGGGGACGAGACACGACCCGCGGCCAGCGTTTGGATTGTCGCGGGCGCGCTGCTTTTTTAATGCGGCGCAACTCACGTTTCACTTCGCTGTTTTTTCAATGGGGAAGGCGGCGCGGTGTCGCAGCACCTAATCAACTCTTGCAGTACCATGAAGGCGGGTGAAGAGGGATTTTGGTGAAGGGGGACAGGAAACGCAGGCGGGCGGTATCTATCACCCGGGTGTGCGCGGCACCTAACCAACTCTCGCAGTAATGGGAAAGGCGCCCGGTGTGCGCGGCACCTAACCAACTCTCGCAATACCCATGCTGTCCTCCTCCCCCTCCTCCTCCTCCTCCTCCTCCTCCTCCTCCAAGAGGAGAGAACGGAGGAGGAGGAGGAGGAGGAGGAGGAGGAGGAGGAGGAGGAGGAGAGAAAGGATGAGGAAGAGGAGGACGAGGAGGAGGAGGAGGAGGAAGACAAATCAGAGGAGGGGGGATGAGGAGGGAGAAGGAGGAGGAAAAGGAGGAGGATGAAAAGGAGGAGGAGGAGGAGGAAGAGGAGAAGGTGAACGAGGAGGAGAAAGGGGAGGAGGAAGAGAAAAAAAAGGAAGAGGAGGAGGAGGAGGAAAGGAGGGGGAGGAGGAGGAGGAGGAGTAGTAGTAGGACGAGGAGGAAGAGGAAGAGGAGGAGGAGGATGAGGAGGAGGAGGAAGAGGAGGAGGAGGAGAAGGAGGAGGAGAGAAAAGAGGAGGAGGAGGAGGAGGAGGAGGAGGAGGATTAGCGCGTGGTGGAGGGGGCGTTCGCCTGGTGACTACAAGCCGCCCGCGGCCATGGATCCCGCTGTGGGGATGGGCCGTAGGACTCGGCGGAGCTCCAATCGCCGAGCCACTCCCTTCTGTCAGGGCTGCCGTGCATGATTTTCAGGGAAGCACCACCCTTTTGGGAAGCTCTCAACCTGATTGACTGACTTCTACGGTCTTTCTTTTAGAAGCTTTGAACGACTGGGCAACACATACTAAGCAGAGCGCCACTTAGAAACAAGACGACTGCACGGGTGCACACCGCAATAGTGCACAAGACAAGAAATTCAAAGCAACACAGGTGCAGACCACGGCTCATCACGGAGAGCGGGGAAGACTAATCCCACGGGCCTCTCCCACGATTCTTATGCACCAATGGGCACCGGAATGCAAAGGCCAGGAGCGAACCCTAATTGCAGCATGGCTTGCCTCAGGCGGCAAGCGGAGAAAGGTAAAACCATCCAGACTTATGATGGATGTTTTGCATGGCGCGGGCCTTGCCGTACTCGCCGACGCATTCCTTCCACCAGTCCATGTTGTCAGACTTCGTTAGCAGGTAGTCGCCCATCCGGCCGGAGACTGGCATCGCAGGCGTTATCTTCTCTTCGAAATCCTTGTACCACCCGACCTTGACCAGCATGAACTTCATTTCTTTCCGATTTCGGCATAGCAGAACTGCTTGTCTCTGTGGGTGGCGCGGTCCTTGCCGTACTTGACGTTGCAGCCCTTCCACCAGCCCATGTTGTCAGCAATCTTCTGCAGGTTTGCGACCTTGTTGATATTGCGATGGCCTGGGGCATCGATGAAGACTGTGTAATGCCACTTCTCGGTGTAGAAGTCTTGGGTGGCGCAGGCGCTGGTCACCCCGCTCTCGTGCTCCTCCTTCTGACGGTCCATGTAGAACGTGAAGGCGACGGGGCCTGGTACTAGGCATACGGCCTCCTCCTTCAGCTTCTCCAGCTCGCGTTGCGGAAGGCCGCTCAGGTCGTAGTTGAGGCGGGCGGTGGTGGTGCTCTCGCCGATGTCGACATGCCCGCAGATCACGATGGAGAGGTGCTCCTTCGCAAGAGTGGCAGGCATGGCAGACTGGTGGGGAATGATCCGAAAAACTCTGGGGGCGTAAGCGAACGCGAAGTGTTCGAGCCCCAAGCTCCTGGACCTGACCAGGAGTGAAATGCTGTGGTGTCCTTGAGCCAAATGGCTACGGAGGAGGAGGAGGAGGAGGAGGAGGAGGAGGAGGAAGGGGAGGAGAAGGAGGGGGAGGAGGGGGAGGAGGGGGAGGAGGGGGAGGAGGAGGAGGAGGAGGAGGAGGAGGAGGAGGAGGAGGAGGAGGAGGGGGAGGAGCAGGAGGATGTTGATTGCGTTGGCCCCCCACGCTACACCACAAATGATGACTACTCCAAGAGCGCGGCGCCTCACAGCCCTCGGCCTGCAGCCCGCCAGCTAGAATACGAAACCGCCAAAATGAGATTGTCGAGGGCGTCCCCGCTGTCGTCGTCGGAACACACCACGGCGCACCGAGGGATAGACTTACCAGCGCACGCAGCTCCCGAAATCACTGGGCTCCACCCGCGCGAGAACCAGGCGAAGCACTGAAACTGACAAGGCGGTCTTCTCCAGGGTCGTGAGGAAAACGCAAGAATCGGGGAGACGTAAGACTCGGGTAACGGGGGACTCGGGTTGGCCCGACGGGGCCATCATAAAAATGACGAGGCCCAATCTGAAATTTGACGCGAGCTCCCGCTGCAGACATCCCACGAAAACCAGACCGTCAAAATTCAGGACGCGCTCGTCAAAAAAACGTCGGCAAACCCGAGTTCCGGCTTACTCGGGTCTTGCGTTCCCCCGAAAGAAGGAACCCAAGCACAAGGGACAGCCGCGGCAGCAACACCGCCCCTCATCAGACTGTACCCGCTCGCCATCCATGAGGCCAGCGCTCAGCACCGAGAGCCTCCCCTTCGCCTGCGCGGCCGCGCCCTCGACAAACGCGCTGCACTCCTCGCCCCTGCCCTCCGCTTTGGGGGGCGGGGCCCCCGCGTCAGCATGCAAAGCAGCATCGGCCCCCTGCGCGACCAGGGAGAGCCCTTCAACCCGCCGTCGCTGCAGAAGCACCCCGCGACGTCGAACACGACGCGCGTCTTCCTCTCCTCGTCCGCGGCCGCGGGCTGGGGCGCCAAACGCAGACCCGGCAGGAACCCGTCGCCGAAAGCGCACGCGAGGAACTCCGCGGGCAGATGCCGCACCCCGGGCGCCAAAGCCACGGGGAGCCCTGGGTTCCCGGAGGAAGGTGTCGACGTCCTCTCAGGTAAGGTCAGGTAGGGTTAAGGGTCAAGGGGTAAGGGTTATAAGGGTTATAAGGGTTAAGGGGTAAGGGTTCAGGGTTAAGTTTTAAGGGTTAAGGCTTAAGGTTAAGGCAAGGTAAAGCAAGGTGAGGTAAGGCAAGGTAAGGCGGTTGGGGATATGAATCCGAGCGGCCGACAGCCGACTGGAGTCTTCTGGCCTCCCTGCGACGGAACACTTGGGCAGGACCCCTATCTGGGTCTGCACGCGGGATCGGGCGGGGCGGTGGGACGATGGCCCTCCATTTGCTGTCACGCGGGGGGGCACCCACTGGGGTGAGACAGTCCGCACAAATTCGCAGGTGGGAGGGGGATGCCGTCGCCTCATGACGTGAGGGTCGGGCCTCCTAGCCGAATTGCAAGGAGAAGAAGGAGGGGAAAGGAAAGGAGCGACGGCGGCGGCGATGGTGGCGGCGGGTGGGGGGGGCTGCAGTCCTAGTACGTGTCGAACGGGCGCGCGCAGAGCGCGCGCTCGCCGCTCTCTCTGCCCTCCCTCCCCCCGCTCCCTCCACCACCGTCCCACCCACCACGATCCTACATCCTTGTCTGGCTCTGGTGGGCCCCGTGGCCCAACTGCGCTGGCTTACTCACTTGGCTCACTCCTGCCGGTGCTGGTCGTTTGATTTGGCACTTCTATCCCCAATGAGATCACCCACAAGTCGTGTATCTTTCGTCGTACCAGACCCGTCCGTATTTTGTCCAGCCAAACGCGGGCCGACTTCGTCACACTGGGTGCAACAAATCAGGTGATGTCATATTGGGGGGGTCGCTGCACTCGCCTCGTTCTTCTCCCTGTCTCACTGCTTAGACCGTGTGCGTCTTCTGCGGAGCTTTCGGCGGGAAGGCATCCTCAAGGTGGCTCTTGGCGTCTGCTGCTGGTCCATCATGTGCGTTCGTACGCATGGACCCCAGCTTCTCCTCGAACGTCTAGACCTTCTGCAACAGCGGGGCCGTCTGCTGTGCCGAAGGGCTGCTGCCTGCGCTCACGCCGTGCCCGCCGCCTCCGTAAAGGCGTTGGTATTCCTCTGACTCAATCAATCCACTTCGAAGGGTCTTTCTGAGGAGGGGGAGGAGGAGGAGAGGGAGGGGGAGGAGGAGGAGGAGGAGGAGGACGAGGAGGAGGAGGAGGAGGAGGACGAGGACGAAGGAGGAGAAGGAGGAAGAGGAGGAGGAGAGGACGAGGAGGAGGAGGGAGGAGGAGGAGCAGGAGGAGGAGGAGGAGGACGAGAGGAGAGGGAGGGGAGGGGGAGGGGGGGAGGAGGAGGAGGAGGAGGAGGAGGAGGAGGAGGAGGAGGAGGAGGAGGGAGGAGGAGGAGGAGGAGGAGGAGGAGGAGGAGGAGGAGGAGGAGGAGGAGGAGGGGGAGGAGCAGGAGGAAGAGGAGGAGAAGGAGGAGAAGGAGGAGGAGAAGGGGGAGGAAGAGGAGGAGGCTCCAGCCGCGTTAGGTGGCGCATGGGCCCCCCCAACGCGGCACGGCCGCCGCCACCACGATCTCACATAGCTGGACGCCTCCGTGCACCTCCACGAAGCAGGTGCGGTATGATGCGGTGGTGCCTCGGCCGCGGTGCAGCGCAGCGCTGCACCGCGGTGCTGCAGCGCCGGCGAAGACGACCCGCGACCCGCTGGCCCGCAGTCGCACGCTTCAACGCGGGCATAGAAGAGGAGAAAACAACATAAACACACATTTGTGGAGCGCGCCAGGGGCGGCGCCGGAGGCGCCGCCCTGGGGTTGACGTGCGTGCGCCGGAGGCCCAGCGCGGATTTCAGAAATCCGCGCGGAGCGCCCAAATTTTAGACTTCTGGCGATGTTTGTTCCTCGAGCATCGCGGGAAGGGCGGCTCTCTTCCAGTCCGCCAGATGCGAACCCTACCCCTACCCCCCCCCCGATTTCTGAGGGGGGGGGGGGCACTTTGTTCAGGAGCTCCCGACCGAAGTGAACCCCCCCCTCCCCCTCAGAAATCGTGGGAGGTAGGGCCCCCGAGTCAGGAAGGGCCTGCCCTCCGCGCCGCAGCCCGCCCCCCCGCGCCGCGAGGGGCGCCCGCGCGGCGGGGCGCGCGAGGCGCGCGGTCGAAGGCCCTGAGGCTGAGGCGCCTCGAGCTGCCGCAGCTCCTCGGGGTGCCGCGCGGACGGCGGCCCCCCACGGCCACCGCCGCCTGGCCGCCAGAAACGTCGTCGTCGTCGGCGTCGTCGGCATGGGAGCGTCGTCGTCGTCGGCATGCCCTGACAGCATCTCCAGAAACGGCCGTGGCGGAAGCGGGGAGAAGCAGCTTGAGCCGAATCGGCCACGGAGGAGCATGAAGAGGAGGGCGGCAGGAGGAGGAAGAGGAGGCCTCCCGGATGGGGCCAAAAAAAATGGGGTTGGCGGATCGCGCCGCATCGCCGATGCATCGGCGATGCATCCGCGACTACGGCGATGCCTCGGCGACCTCGGCGTGGAGAGAATCGTGATCTATATCGAGCCGCATCGCCAACGCATCGACCGACCCATCTGGGCGGCCTGAAGCCTTGGAGCGAGGCGAGGGGGTCGTCATGGAAGGGTTCGGTCTGCCAGGGGTCGGTCAGGCTGCTCCTCCTCCTGCCCCTCCTGCTCCTGCTCTTGCTCCTCCTCTTCCTGCTCCTCCCCTCCTCCTACTCATCCTGCTCCTCCTCCTCCTCCCCAGAATCTCTGGGAGGGCACCAGAAGCCGCACCCGCGCGGCTCAATCGCCGCAAGGGGGAGGGCGACGAGAGGACAGGGACGGGGACGACGACGACGGTGACGACGGACGGCCAACGAGCGACGACGACGGCGGCGGCGCAAGAGTAACGAAGGTAACGAAGATGGTGACCTCAGCGGCGGAAGACGAACGACAACGACGACGACGACGACAACGACGATGACGACGACGACAACGACGACGACGACGACGACGACGACGACGACGGCTAGGATGGCAACGACGGAAGCGGCGGACGACGAGCGACGGCGGCGGCAGCGACGAGCGACGGCAGCGGCGGCGAAGGCGGACATGACGGCGAACGGCGAAGACAGCGGCGGCGGACGATGCAGGCGAGGGCAGCCGTGGCGGGGCGGGGCGGGGCCCCGTGGACGTGGAGGCCCAGGAAGAAGGTGACGGCCGCTTTGTTGCGGGCCTGCCAGGGGGGCGTGAGCGCAGGGAGGAGAGAAGGAGAGAGAGAGAGAGGGAGAGCGAGACAGGAAGGGGCGCGACACGGATGATGATGGTGGCGATGAACATGATGGTGATGATGATGTTGATGATGAGGGTGATGATGGTTACGATGCTGATGATGATAGGGGGTGATGATGAT